TTGTATGAACAGGCCAGATTTTGTTTGTCCGTCCATCGGGCTGTGGACACTCGGGCTGCTCCCACCTCCGGCTGTTGGGAATAATAATGGGTGTGCAAACACGCAGGTTGGGTTTTCACGGTCCCGGCGGCAGCTCTGTGGCAGGTGGTCCTGTGGTCAGGCCACAAGCAGACCGGGCCAGAGCCCTTAACATGTGGGACTTCCCTGGTCCTTCCCCACCGTCCAGTGAAGTGGGTACTCCTTGTGTCCCCAGTGTAGATGGGTAAAGTGAGGCCAGCAAGGTGAAAGGACTTCCTGCCATGCCAGCCTCTAGGCAAGGTGTCAGGGCACTGGGTGGCGGGTTCCCACATTCAGAACCCACACCATCACCTTTCCCATGGAGTGCCCAGTCTCCTAGGTGCAGTCATCCATTGTCTCGGCTGTTTGCTCGTTCATCAGACGCTGAGTGGATCCACTCTCCTTCTTGCCCTGGGATGGGCCAGGCGAGATGCGTCAGCTCCATCCCGCCCTTAGGAGGTCACGGGATGGGGGCCAAATCACACAGACACAAAGAATAGTTGATTGACTATCTATGTCCGCCACGGATACGGGCAGTGGGGGTGTGTGTGCAAGCCATGCATTTGCCAACTCTGGCTACAGGTGGGGAAACTGAGGGCCAGGAGAGAAGACGGTTTCCTCAGCCACAGAGCCAGGTGTTCTGAGCCCTGGGCCTGTCTCTGTTGCTGCAGGTTTTTTCCAGGATCCGTGAGGGTAAAGTTAGCGGGTCATGGTCCATGCTGTTTCTGGGGGATTTCTTTGTCTTCTTCGTCAGTTTCTCCCCCAACTCTTTCTTCTGAAAAGTTTTAAGCGTAGAGAAAAGTTGGGGGGAAAAGCCAGTACAATGAACACCTTGTAATACTTTCATCTAGATGCATCAATTATTTTGCTACATTTTGCTTTCTCTCTCTTTCTCTCTCCATCTCTCTCTCTCTTTTCTGAACCATTTGAAAGTGAGTTGCGTCATCACACCTAGGCTTTAGCACAGGCCTGTACCCAAATATCACCCACAGAAAGTCCCCCGTCCCGTTTCCCTGCCCCCAGGGCTCCTTTAAAGACATTTGTCTACCTTCCCTTCTTCAGGAGTCAGTCTAGGGTCACCCGCCACAATTGGTTAGCATGCCTCTCTGTCTTTAGTCTCCTTTATTCTTGAACATTCTTCCCACCTGTTTTCTCTCATGCCGTTGACACTTAAAGAGTCCAGACCTGTTACTTTGTGGATCGTCCCCCATCTGGTTGGGTCTGTTTCTTAGTGATGGGATTCGGGCTGAGCATTTTTGGTGAGAGGCTGCTGTGTGACCTGCTTCCCGCTCGGGGGGTGCACAGGGCCCATTGGTCCCGTGTGCTTTCCGATTTTTAGCACAGCCTGAGCGCATCCAGCGGGGATGAGAATCCTCGCACGCACGACTTAGCACCCGTGTGCAAATAGACCTGTGAGTGGAAGTTATAGATATTACCGGAAGCAGAAAGTTAAATGGGAATATTGTCTGCCGACCTGCTCTCCCTGGAGGCGGACCCAGTTCACACCTTTACCAAAAGGGCACCAGAGTTCCTTGACCCTCTCTGCTCCCTGCCCAACACGGGGCACTGTCAGTCTTTTCATATTTGCCAGCTGATGGGAAAAGGACACCTCCCTGCTTTCATCTGCCTTCTCGGGCACCCGAGGGTATTTTTCTAGCTTCCGGGCCATTTGTGTTTCTGTGAATTTGCTGTTGCCCCCCCAGCTTATTTTCTGTGGGGTTGCTTGTCTGTCTGTATTGACTCAGAAGGCGGATGGGTGTGTACCCTGCGCTCCGCCCAGCAGGGACATGGAATGGCTCTCCATCTGAGCGCGGGCAGTGGGGCCTGAGAGGCGGTGTGTGTTGGGGGCAGTGGGCAGGACACGGGCACCGTGGGGCCGCGTCCAGGTGTGTTGTCGGGCGGGGAAGGCAGCGTTGGCTGAGGAGGGGGTCTGCAAACAGGGAGACAGAAACTCGGTCACCTCCGATCAGCCTCACGGGTGATTTCCCTGCTCACCAGGTTCGGGGGGCTGCTGAGACCTTCTCCCGTGAAATCAGAATGCGTCTCGGCACGCAAGCCCACTTTTTGCGGCTCTGGGCAGCCTCCTCCTGGCCTCGGGGGCCTCACACCTGCGGGCTCCTCTTCTGGTCTCAACCACCTGCTCGTAAGCTTTTTCTCAGCCTTCAAAGTTCGTTTCGGCTTCATTTCCTCCGAGAGGCCCTCTGACCGCCCGAGCCCAGCGGCTGCCGAGCCCGGCTGCTCGGCAGCCGCTGGGGCCGGCCCTGCTTTTCTCCTTTGTTACACTGATCATAGGTCGGGTCTGCACGTTCATTTGTTTCCCTGGCTGTGTTTGCTGCCCTGCTAGTCTGCCAGCTCCCAGCGGGGGGCTTAGGACTGACAGGTTCCCCCTCACCGGGCAGAACACCCTGCCCGACTCATTCCTTTGTTACATGGACGGGGCAGCCTCCAAGTAGCCCAGCCCTTGGGCATCTGGGTCAGTCTGGCTGAAGCCACCTCCTGGCTGATACCTTGGGGGGCCTTGCTGTCCTTTGCCTTAGGGGACCCTGGACTTACTGTCTCGGGGGCATACACGTCACAGATGGTCCTGCAGGTGCTGTGAGGACCCACGGTGTGGCCCTTCGTGAGCACGGCTCCCCCACATGGACAGGGGCAAGAAGAGTGGACTGAAAGGATGCGGTCCAGCCAGGCTGGGTGTCTGCGACAAGGAGTTTGGTCTCAATCTGGGAGGCCTCGTGAGCCCCCGGAGGTGGTGCTCGGTGCTGGGGACCCGGAGGTCAGTCTGGCAGGGCGGGGAGGACCAGTGATGGGGCACAGAGTCTCAACCAGGTGAGAAGGGGTGGGTGGGAGGGGCCAGAGAGAAGGGGAGGCCCCGTGAGGTACAGGGAGAAAGCGCTACCGGTAATGCCGACGTTTCGTGCTAGCTGCTCCGAGACGACAGGTGATTTTGGTGACAATGGGAAAGTCCATGTTCTAGGTTGAATTGTGTCCCCAAAGAGAGATGTTGAAGTCCTGACTCTGGTCCCTGTGAACGTGACCTTATTTGGAAATAGGGTTGTTGCAGACGTCACTAGTTAATATGAGGTCATATGGAGTAGGGCGTCCTGATAAGAAGAGGAAGAGAGACACAGAGGAGAGGCCACGTGACCACAGAGGCAGAGGTTGAAGGGCTGCAGCTCCAAGCCAAGCATTGCTGGCTACCGTCGGGAGCTGGACGAAGCGAGGAAGGATTCTCCCTTACGGGTTCCAGAGGGAGCACGGCCCTGTGGACACCTTGATTTAGGACTTCCGGCCTCCAGACTGTGAGAGAATAGATTTCTGTTATTTAAGCCACTCGGTTTTTGGTCCTTTGTCCCAGCAGCCACGGGAATCTCATACAGTTAGGAATTGGGGAAGAAAGATGCCACTTACCAAGTGCCCATAAGGTACCAGGCGAGGTGCCCGGCCCCTTCACACGTATCATCTTGTTTGGTCTCTCTGCAGCCAGCAGGCAGGCACCCTCATTATATACATCGGAAATTGAGGCCCAGAGAGGTAGAGCCGCTGGGCCAAGGTCACACAGCTAGTGAGAGATGGAGCCGGTTGCAAACACAAGTCTGCCTGAGTTGCACAAGGGGAGCCAGCTGGGTGAGGGTATTGGTGTGTGATGTGTGGCCCTGTTGGAGGGTGGGGAGAGGTGGGGGAGGGAGGATGGCAACAAGCCAGACATTCTCTTTTCTGACTCTGAGGTTCCTGGGGGGCTTCCAGGTGGAGGCGTCCAGCACGCCGCTGGCTCTGGGGGTTGAGTGCTCAGGAGAGGCCCGGCTGGACTCTTAGGAATCCTTGCCCAGGGACTGGACGGTGTCTCAGATCCCTTCAGACCTAATTTTTTATGCCCCTGAGAAAGCGCCAGTGTCTTCCTTGCCTTAAACCCACGTGGAAGATCTGTACCATCTGTCGTAAAGTTTTCAGGTCCTTGATTTCGTTTGTTTCTCATCTTTTAAGAGGCATTCAGAAATGAAGATGTGAGTGGGCGTAACTAGTGATGGCACAGTGATGAGTGGACGTGGTGTGGGGCTGTCAGGGGTGAAGAATTATTCTGGAATGTGGAGCAGGGGGTCTGCCAGGAGGAGGGGGAGTCAGGGGCTTGGGGAAGCAAGTGGAGCCGCCGAAGCCACCTGCGACCACGCTCCCCCTTGCCTTTCTGGTCCTGGCCCCTTCTCAAGTCACCTGATGTGCCGGCCTGCTCGGAGGATGCAGGCCACTGTTGGGGGCTGCAGGTGGAGGACCCTCCATGGGGCAGGGCGGCCTGAACCATGTCCTCGAGTTCAGGGGTCCTTCCAGGCACCAGTCAGTCCCACCCACCCTCTGTGTGCAGAAAGAGCCGCGTTTCTCTCCTTTCTTTAAATCATCATCATTTTTGCTGGGTCCCCCACCCTGGCAAGGGTGCAGGTGTAGAAGTTAGGATGGAACTTTCTACACTGCAGGTGGCGACCCATTTGTGGGCATGAAATCAGTTTAGTGGGTCACAGAAGACTTTGTTACGTAAGAGGTTGAATTGAATGCAAGATAGCAGACCCATCCCAGGAAAAAAAAAAAGAAAAGATAGAAGAATAGCAGAGCACATCCCGAGTCATAAGGCTACTAGGTATCGTTTGGTGAGAAATATCTGTTATGTATTCACATATCATATAAACTACGGCTGCCTGTGTAGGCTGAAAAACGGGCCCCAGAATATATCACGTTCTCATCCTGGGGCCTGCGAGTGTTGCTTTATTTGAAAAACAGGGTTTTTGCAGATGGGATTAAGGTAAGGACGCTGAGCTGGGGAGATTATCCAGGATTATCTGGGTGAGCCCTAAATGCCATCATCACAGTGACTCTTAGAGAGGCAGAGGGAGGTTACAGACTGACACACAGAGGAGAAGGGGATGGGGTGGGGGGAGGGGCAGAGATGCGGTGATGCGGCCATGAGCCAGGGATGCCGGCCGCCACCAGGATCTGGACGGGGCGGGAAGGATCCTCCCGCAGAGCCCAGAGGGAGCCTTGCCCTGCAGACACCTGGATTTCAGCCCAGTGGTACCGACTTTGGACTTCTGGCTTCCAGAACTGTTGTCTTACCAGTTTGTGTTGGTTTGTTACCACAGCTACAAGAAACGAATACACTTCGGAACAAACAACCCCAAAGCGCAGAGGCAGAACTCGGCAATCAGTTTTCCTGGCTGGGGGCCTGCGGGCTGGCCGGGGCTCAGCTAACCAGGCTCGGCTCCGTGGGGGTGGCTCTGCCCCATCTCCTACCCTCCTCCTGGGACCAGCAGGAGGCAGAAGCACAGTAGGGCAGAGGGAGCCGCCTTCGGCCTGGACTCAGAACTGGAACATTGTCACTTCCACCCGCGTGCCATGGCCAAGCCAGCCGCATGAGCCAGCACAAAGAGGAGACCCTGGCGAGGGTGAGGCTACAGGGGGAGCCCAGACTCAGTTCATCCCACAGGTGTGCACACCTGGGCCTGGGAGGCCACTGCCCGGTGTACCCCTCTCTCTGGGCGCTGATGTTGGAACAGTTTGGGAGCCACTGGCCGGGGGCAGAGAACCTGGCTCCAAGTGCATATCCCCCGTGCCCTTGACCCTGGCGTTCACGGGTTTTCAGGGCCTGGCTCTGCCTCTCTGCGACTCTTCCTGAGAATCAGTCTGGAAGGTTCCAGGTGGGGCTGGAACAGCATCTCACCTCACCCCCTCCCACCACATCCTCAGAGGAGAAGAGGGGCTCATCCCGCAGGGCCCAGGAGGGAAGAGAACTGCTTCCCCAGCCCCAGCCAGTCGTGGCCCCAGGATGGGACGTGCAGATCCGAAATTAGCGTGAGTTCCTCAGGGTCCTGGTCCTCTGCTTTCAGACCACACCGGGGACCTTGGAGAGGTCATGGGGCAGGAAGCTCCCACGAGGCCGGGTGCCATGGCCGTGCCTCCCCATGGGTGCTGGCCACGCTGCCTCTCCTGTCCCCTCTGCTCAGAACCGACGGGCAAGGGGCAGGGCTCAGGCGCCCCCTCCACCCCTCAGCCCTGGGAACCACCTGAGGCCATGGGAGAGAAGGCCATGGGTCTCTGGACCCCTGGACCTCTGTGGGTAGGGGAGGGGTCCCCACGAGCCAGGGGCGGCCTCCCAGGGGCCCGGCTGCCACTACAGATAGGGGAGCAAGGTGCGGTGGGAGCTGAGCTCCATGGGGGCATTGGTGTGGGGGGAGGAGAGCAGCCAGCTGAGGGTCGGGCAGATGCCTGGAGAGGCACGAGCCAGGCCCTGGGCTGATTTCTACCCAAGGGTCCCAGGGGCCAAGAAGCCCCTACGCCAACGTGCCCATCTCCTGGGAGGCTCTTCTTGCAGTGTTGTGGCAGATGGTCCCATGCACAGGTGTCCTGGCCTCCGGCCAAGGTGGACAGGAAGCACCAGGCCCGTGGGGGACCCTGGTGGGGAGGATGCCGGCCCTGGGGAAGTGTGGCCCAAAGGCAGAGGGCTGGCCCCCTGCCGGGCGCTCTCCCAGGGAGCCAGCGGGCTTGGGGTTCGCGCCCACGCTGTCCTTGGGTGGGGCTCGTGGGAGGGGGAGCAGGTCCTTCCGAGGGTCCTTGTGACTGTCCAGTGCCGTGCTGTTTCCAGAGCCGAAGCAGCGCCTGCCCAGTGGATGGATGGTACCCACAGCTCCTCCTGCTACAATTCTTTCAGACGCCTGGGCAAACCCTCAGCCTCCCTCGTTCTCAGGGTGACACCCATGCTTTGCGTTGGACTGTCCGTTGCCCTGGCCCCTGCCCACCTCCCACCCCAGCTCCGTGTAGCCGAGGGCGCCCGCCCTCCCGGGAATGTGGACTGGCCTCGCCCCCTTTCCAACCTCGCATAGGCCGTTCCCTCTGTCTGGCTCACCCTTCCAGCTGTTGAGCAACTAGCCGCCCCCTGGCCTCTGAATCTCCCGGGGTTCTCTCCTCCAAGGGATCCCCTCGACCCTCCGGGAGCTCGCTCTGTGTTACCCTCGATCGGGCATTGGTCACCCACCGTGCTGCCCCTCGTTCCCCGTCTGACTCTCAGGTTGGGAAAGTAAGGACATGACAGTTCCTGTCTCAGGTGTGGTGCAGGGTATGGGGCTTGCTGAGTGGGGACTGCTGTCATTGTCACCGACACTGTTGTCGTTTCTGCCCTGCGCTGGGCACGGGCCGCAGGGCGTAGATAGCTGCAGAATAAACGATTGGAGAAACTCTTCTCACTTACAAGCACGAGGGGCTGCCATCCTCTGCCTGGGATACGTCATCTGTACCCACTTGCGGGACCCGTGGGCCTGGCGGTGATGCTCTGCAGCCCTGGCGTTTGCTGCAGGGGTACCGGTTACCATGCCCCGTCCGCTGGGTGGAGAGCTTCAGGCTAGTGTGAGTAATGAAAGTCACATCAGGCCAGGAAAGTCCCCGCTGGCTGCCAGCACCTGCTCCGACCCTTCAGAGCCGATGGGATGAGGTATTTTCTGCTGGGTGCTGGTGGAGGGGTGACGCGGCCCACCCAGGGCCTCGGCAGGCAGAGTGGTGGGAAATGTGACTCGGGCTTGAGGGCGTGGCCCCAGAGCCTCTCAGCTGTGGGGTCCTGGCCCGGGTTCACTAGGCTCGGTTTGCACCCATCACGTGCATGATTAGCCAGGATAATGCCTGCGGGTTCTATGCTGCGGCGGCGTGCTGGGGGCAAGGCGGTGCTTCCTGCTTACGTAGCTGACAGGTCACATCGCATTTCTGCCCCAGGAGATCTTAAAGCCGAGTCTAGCAGAGGGGCGCCAAGGAGAACGGGGGTCACCTAAGGGACCAGGCTGTCAGCCAGACCCGGGCAGGACCCCAGTGCTGCCTTCCATGCCCAGCGGCCTCCCGTTGGTCTCCCAAGCGTCCCAAGCCTCAGTTTCCCCTCTGGCACGCAGGGGCCGTGGAGTGGGTTAAGTAGGTCGGCCCCAAACTCATGTCCACCTGGAATAGGGTCCACCTGTGACCTTATTTGGACTAGAGTCTTTGCAGATGTAATTAACATAAGGATGGAGATGAGGTCATCCTGGAAGAGGGTGGGCTCTAAATCCAGTGACTGGCGTCTTTATAAGAGACAGAAAAGGACACACAGAGACGTACAGAGAGACGTCCATGTGAGGACAGAGGCGGCGATGGCAGTGATGCGGACACAAGCCCCCAGAAACTGGCCGATATAGGGCAGCATCCCCCCCAGAGCCTTTGAGAGAGCGTGGCCCTGCCTACGCCCTGGTTTCGGGCTTCTGGGCTTCAGGCTTCCGGGCTGGGAGAGAATAAATGTCTGCTGGTGAAGCCCCCAGCTTGTGGGGCTTTGTCGCTTTGTCAGGCAGCCCCAGGACACGGGTACTGGCTGGGAGGGGCTGGGAAGGCTTGTGGGCTGCACCTGGCACACGGGACAGTAGATGGTCCCGGCCCTCCCCCAGTCCCTCCCCCACTGCCTTTGCAAAGTCCCTTTCCCGGACGCCTGGGAACAGGTGCATTCTGGAGCCGGGTGGGAGTCTATTTCGGTGTGCTGGGAAGGGCTTGGCCCGTCCCTCCTCGGGCATGAGGGTGGGCAGCTGCCACGTGACCCTCTGGCATGTCCCTCTGGAGCCATGTTGGCCTCAGAGGCTCGAGCCCTCGCCCAGCTGCCGCCGGCAGCCTCCAGGGTCCTGGCCCTTCGGGTGGAGGCCACAGTCCATGGGGATGCCCGGAGGAGGGACAGGTAAGGCCCACACTGCCCTGTCCACTGGGACCATCAGCCCAAGAGGATGGCTTCTTTTCTAACTAGAAGTCTCCAGTCCCCCAGATAAGCTCGGGGTCCAACACGAGGGGGGCAGCGTGAGCTCTGCCTCTGTTTATAAAGACACAGAGGACCGGCGCTCACGCACGCCGACTGTATGCCCGGCCCCGGGGACTCTCTTGTGAACTCCTGATGACAGCCCTGTGCAGTGACCCGTTTTACAGATGAGCAAGCTGAGACTGGGGGAAGGGGAGGGCCTGGTCCAGCGTTGCACCGTGGTGAGTGTTGCAGTTGGATCCCATAGTCCAGCCGAGTCCCTGGGCCCTCGGCCTCTGCGCCTTCCCGCCTTCCCTTTCTTTCCTTTAAGGCGGTTCTTGGTTCTCGACCAAGGGTGGCTTTGCTCCCCGGGTGGACTTTGGCAACATCTGGAGACACTTCTGATGGTCACAGCTTGGCGGGGGTAGGGGTGCCACAGGCACTTGGGGGATGGAGGCCACGGACGCCACTCACCATCTGGCAGTGCACGGGGCGGCCCCACAGAAGAGGGGTCCAGCCCAAAATGTTAGTTGGGCCGAGGCTGAGAAACCGGCCTTAAGGAATATCGTAAAAGACTTCAGTCCTTCCGGTGCTGACGCAAAGAACAGGGCCCACCAGGCTAGTTAGACGGAAACAGTAAGTAACTTGTAATCCACTCAAACCCCACCTGTTGACAGGTGAGAAAGCTCTGGGGCAGGGTCGGGGTGGGAGAGTGAGATGGCGGAGGGGAGGGGGAGGGACAGGGAAAGGAGCTTGGACCCCCAGAAGCAGAGAGGTGGGTGGAGCCTCCATGAGCCCAAGGTGTGCAGGGGCTCCAGCCGGGGTCCAGCCTGCAGGCTGAAATGCTCCCTGGTCCTCAAGCCTCCGTCTGGGCGCGAGGCTCGGTGCCCAGCGGACCCCTCCTCTCTGGGCAGCCACAGCAGAGCCTTGCCCTCACTGGCGTCCTCCTTTCTGGCTGTGGAGTCTGTCCAGAGGCAGGATCCGGGACCCCTCGTCCATATGTCCCCGTCAGCATCCCACACGCTGAGAGACTCAGGAGATTTTTATTGAAGGAAGCAGCTCTGGGGTGGGGCAGCAGCAGTGGCTTTGAAGCCAGACCAGTGAAGCTTCCAGCCCTGCCTCTGGCCTGACCTCACTGTGGCCCTGATCGGGGTGCTTCCCCGCTCCGGGGGGGCTCAAGGACCCCCTCTGTAAAATGGGGGTGATTACATTCCTCCCTCCCAGGGTGCTGTGGACCAGCATCGCAGACCCTCCATCTTTGTCCCCCCAAAGCGTGTAGCTGTGGGTGGCCCCTGGCCTGGCCAGGCTCAGCCCCCCGTGGAGGTCTCACTCCAGGACTTAGAGCACCAGGTGGCTTGGGGTCAGGTAACATCCCCCAACCTGCTCAGTGTACTGGATTGTTCTGAAAATAGCGGCAGATTCCGGGAGCTGAGACATGTGACGATGTTCATTTCTCAAATGGAATTTCCATGCGGTGGTTGGGCAGGTCTCCCCGCTCAGCTGAGAACGCAATGCCCTTCACTCCCTGCTGTGCTTTCGCCAGATGATGGGCAAAGGGCAAAACAATATAATATTAAAAATTGCACAAACCCGGTGAAATATGCACTGTTGTTCCCGATTCACCGATGAAGAAATGGCATCTTGTGATAAAAATAGCAG